CGGCAGAACTATGGTTGAACCTGGAGATTGTATACAAAGTTTTTTTTTTATGATTGATTTTAGTAGCCTAGGGTGTCCCCTTTCAGAATCTGCAGGGTTTGGCGACCGGTCTACATGTGTTTGTAGTTTATGCACATATTTAGCGTGCGGCAATCTTACAAATTCCCTAAAAAACACAGAAATTCACGATTAGAAAGGGACTCCAAGATACGCAATAACTAATTTAGGGACCCCTGAAACTACCACACCCCTTTTCAGACCATCCCTGAAAAAGGAGGGGAAAGATGGGATGTTAAAACATGTTGCACAAATTCCCACATTGTCAGCCATTGTGAAACTCATCTAAAAAAATATTATCCCAGATGGTGTAAATTTTCAACGGTAATCAAAATAGAATCCTTAATGGGATGGTTTTCAGGGTTACTAAATTCTGTTTTGGGTTCCTTTTTGGTGCAATTTTCTTCATTTGGTGTGTCTTGCAACATTTTCACCGGGGTAAAAGTGGTTTCGATTTATCCAGTTGTTAAGAATTTGCGCCCTAATATTAGCTCAGAAATGGTTATGCAATTCGTGTTTATAGCCCTTGTATCAATTCCAGGGGTGGACTAGAAAGGAGAATTATAGCTTCAGGGATCTTTAAACTAGTTAAGGTATATGTGTAGTCAGGGGCTTACATAAAGATTTTGTGTTAGCAAAATGCGATCGACTGGTGCACATGTCCCTAATACGAGTGACGTAGCCAGGGGCCTAGCACCACAGGTGATTTTTTTCTAGGGGCCAGTAGCTGATCTAGAAGCTGGGAATAGGGGGTGGATGGTTCGAAAATCTAGGGCGCCATCCTCAATCATACCCCACAATGAATGTCAACAAAATACTGGCTATAACACTGAGCGTCCCGGTAGAACATAGATCGTATTGCCCATATAGTTGTTCGCCGATTGTGATCTCGATGGAAAGCAGTTTTATGTAAGCTGACATAAAGTTCATGTCATAAAAATGATGATTGTTATTGATTTTGTTATTAAAGTTATGTGAACGTTTAGGGCAGTGGCTATAACACTGAGCAACCTGAGAAAATTTTGAAAAATTGAATCAATATCCTAGCATTTGAGGTCATTGCTGGGAGCAAATTCTTGTGAACAAGAGAACCAGAAATGGAAGTCAATGAGACTGAATCTCGAATTCTGCACCTGTCAATTCTGTCTGTTTTGCAAGAGTTGTCAGAACATACCAGCAGTACTACTAACTGGGCAGTTCATTATAACCGTAAATATGATAGTGCTGAGACAGTATAAGACCACAGAGGTGTGGAAGAATGATAGAATCTAGGGGCGCAGGCGCGAAAAAATTTCAGATATGTAACTCTCCTTTTATAACACTATAGGGTTATTTTAAGTCTAAGAAAGGTTTTCTGTTTAATATAGAAATCTTTACCTACATGATGTGTGACAAAAACTAGGATGATGAAGTAGCTTGCATTACTCTGCTACTATCTTAGTCTAACTCACAGACACTTATGTCAGTACCCATTTCTGGAAAGTCCAGTCATCTCGTGCACGGATGAGTCCAATTAAATAGAATAATGTTGACGTTAAACGGTGCCTATATGAAACACTTACCCAAAAATGGTAATTGTCCCGCCCTAATAGATGACGCATTACATTTTCTATATAAGAAAGAGCGGGTTTGATTTACCCTCAAACAATCATTCGGAGCCCAGGGGATCACCATACCTATAGCCTCCTCGGCTTAGAGGCTATAGGGTGAACACATCATTCTAGCGCGAACGTTATGTAGAACTATCAAGAAGTATGTGGCTCTTGCCACGTTTAAGCCGTTAGGTCTGAGTTAGAAAGGATATTAAACTCAGACCGTGGATAATTTAATAACTCAAAAAGTAACTATCATAGATATTGTAGTTTCGTGTATGTAACCGTTGTAGTTTGCTGTATTCGTTAGATAAACTTAGTAACAACATAAACGGTGTTCCAGAGTCAATTAATTGATGATTGAAATAATTCATCCAACAACGTGAAGTCCAAGCAAGGTCCTAGACGATCATCTGTCCCCATAGTGTCACATCTAATTCCTTTTTGGTACCGCGACACAGGATAGTGTCACAGATAATTCCTTTTTGGTACCGCGACACAGGATAGTGTCACACTTTTAATATTTTGGGACTGGGTTAACGAGAGGATAAGAAATGGGACAAAATCTTGAGGCCTGTCCGTCAATTTCGTCTTTTTTGTGAGAGTAGAAATTACAACTCTACAGTCTGTCGCCCCACCCACTAGTGGCACTACTAACTGGGCGCTTCACTGTAACTGTGAATATGATAGTAATGAGATTCTATAAGACAGAGGAGTTGAAGAATGATGACAACAGAATTCAGCGCTGTAGGCGCGAAAAAAATTTAGATTATGTAACTGAGCTTTTAATTTTTGGGGACGTATTTCTGAAACAAACTATGCTTCCGATAGCTTCTTACCAACTGTTCGACTAATGTTATTCGTATGACAATCAATAATATAATTTGAATTATGAAAATCTTCGTAACAAGCTCTCTCAATTTCTTAGACCAACATACCCATAACAGGGAAATTCTTTTTTCAAACATGACAAGTTGACTGGGTTATTTTATACTATACCGTTGTAATTTAGGTGCACGGATGCACACAAAATTTAAACTTTGGCATTGTTTAACTCATTTATTCATTAAGTCTGAGACCGACTCCCGTGAGCACTTATTTTGAGATCGACTATGTGGCGTAAGAAATTTAGGTGCACGTATATTAAGTATTTGCGATTTTTCCCTTCTATTCTGGCGTTGTTTGTTTACCTTATTAATTTATTTCGTCACTCGCCGATGCATAATTTTGAGACCAACTGTAGTGACTGCATTTATTTTGCAAGAACATTGGTACGTTGTTGACACCCTGTGCTATCCAAGCATAGCTTAAACCTAGGTTATCTAGAATAGTTTTAACGTGAGTTGCCCAGGTTATCCTACCAGCCAGATGTAGATCAAAAAGCATTTTATAACACGCCTTTGGATACCTATTGCGCAGGCATTTTCAAAATTTTATGCCAATACTTAATTAAATTAAGCTTAAACAACACATTAAGTGGTAGTCTACGTCCGGCCTAACTCACCGTAAACGGCAGCATTTCCTGTTGTAGAACTAACTGATAATATTCTCTTACAAAATTTTAAATTTACTGATTCCAGACATTTATAATCTGTGTAACCCCAGATTTCTGAACCGTAGCTTAATATTGATGTAACCATTCTGTCAAACAGATATAAAGAGTCCTTTACATTAATGTTCGCTGTATCATAAGGCCTGTCATTGAGTCAACTGGCGTGGTTTCGAATCCCCGGTTGTACGTGACAAGGAGTAGGGTCGCCTGTCCAACCTCGTGGGTTTTCTCCGGGTCCTCCGGTTTCCTCCCACTGCTAAAGACCCCTACGAGCAAGCAAATTATTGAAATAAAATTAAACCATATGTTAGTCCCGAAATGACCTAGTTTGTGTCGAGTGGACGTTAAACCCCATTTCCCTCTCTCTTTCTCTCACATTAATGTTATTTTTACAACAAAATTTATACAAAAGATTCATGGCTTTTTCGCCCTGCTGGGATAAGTTGTTACAGGATTTACCCCATATTAATTTAGGAGTAAATAGAATACCTAGATATTTATATGCTGAAATTTGTCACTACCGGATAGAAATACTTATTAGGTTGAAAAATTACCGTGTAACTATAAGAATACCATAAAATCTAAGGAGGAATTCGAGAAATTAATCTGAACGAAATCCCGAAATGTCTAGAATCACTTCGCTTGGTTTGAGATCTCGTCGTGTCTCGCGCGAGCGGCAGAGAATTCAATAATGTATTCTAAATATAGATTATTTACCTAATTATTTCTCTAGTAAGGACAATATGTCACCCATGCCAGTGTTGAATCACTGACAAGGGGAAACCACGCCCGAAAATCTAAATGAACTTTCTCGGCCAATGGCAGGGATCGAACACCCGACCTCCAGGCTAGCGAGCCAGCGTCTTACCCACTTAGTCACGTGATCCCCTTCTTTCTCTAAAGTACGTAATTATGAATGTGCCAGGAAATAACTGATAGATTCACAGAGCCATAGAACCATATTTTCCAGTGATGTATAACACGATAACTGGAATTTCGTATTAAGACCCGTTTTTCTGACATTTTAATCCCTCGGCACCACCCCACACCCCTCTCTAAATTTTAGTACAGGCTAATTAATTAGCTTTTTCTAAAAAAAAAAGTATAATCATTGTGAGCAACAAATAATAGATATACATGTAGGCTACTTAAAGAGAGGAAGAGTATACATCAACGTGCTTTTCACTGATATGTAACATGATATCCTCAATATCGTATTATGACCCGTATTTTGACATTGCATACCCTCCCCTATCCGTAATCATGGTAATATAGTTTAGTACCATCCAAATTTGATCGTTTTTTCAAGGTAAGTAAATATCTTATAGGTTGATTTCCTCTTATTGTGTGCTGACTTATAGTGTGTCAGGTTGATCTCGGTCTCGTATATGTTAATAGGTCACGTGATATCTTACATTTGCATATCATAGTTAGTGCTATGCGTAAGATGATATGTAGAAAGCGTGAAGATCAATGAAAAACGGCAGAACGCAAATGTAAAATGTAATGAGGTAAATTGTAAATTGTAGACACGCCAAAAACAGCCTTTTCTAATCAAACATTTGTCATTTGACACATTACATTTAACGTTTTACATTTAACTTTGGCCTTAGAGGTATTTTGACTTCATCATTACTGGTTTTAGGACAATGTACATTTTACATATAATCAATGGAAAATATCCCATGGATTTAATAGCTCTAAGCTCTTGCATAATGTATGTTTAACATTGAAGTCAATAGGGAAAGTAATGGTGGTCTGCATCCAACGAAGAAAAACGAGTTACGTCCCTTTTCAGAAGGTTCGCGCCAAAACCATAACATGACTACAGAACAAAGGTAAGTTTATTCGTTTAATGATTTCCATTCCTGACAAATCCTTATTTAAGTAAAATATATGTGTACTATTACATGTATATTAATTGAGACATGTGCCTACATCCCACCAGCTTTCTGAGTCTTTGATTCGCCGAAAAGTGTTTGTATATCTCACGATATTCATTATGATATGCTTTTGAGGAAGAGGTTGCCACAACATTTATTGCTCAATCTGTGGTAAGCTTTCACAGTGGTTCACACCCACGAAAATTTGTGAATAAGTTATAACCGGTCAATAAGACGAGAACTGACAGACTCAATGGGGAAATAAATGATGTACAGTGGCCAGAGTGTTCAGTGAATAGATGTTATATAATAAATAGAGTTACCGTTACACTACAGTGTTAGTTACAGCTTGTGAATGGGCCTCCCTAATCAGTGCATGACATTTAAGCGAATGACGAATACAATGAATTGATTAATCAATAACCACTCCATATTTAGGCCAATATAATTCAAATAGCCTACAGTATATAGAGTTTAATAAATATCGACTTATATTTTCGTTATTAGCGGTGACCCCGCCATCGATCCACTAGTAAAAATTATATTGATGATATATAAATCTAGGAATAAGTAACTGGAATGATAAACCGAGTCTATATATGATTTATTATTTTCTTAATAACAAATATATTCACGGGAAGAATAACACAGATAGATTCACTGTCATTCGTCCGTCCAGTTAATTCCGTCATTTCTAAGTAACGTTATTCCTCCAGTGAACCTGGATTCTATTTTTGAATTGTGAGATACCCTCTCACCGTCCCATATAATAACTTTTCATCTTCAACGGAATTATCAGTGAAATGAAATTCGATCGTTTGTCTATTATCGCTCGTTACTTCAGTCAGTTATAAACAAGGATAACTCGTGTCTGTCATCACTTCCCGTTTCTTCACTTGCTTGTTACACATCTCCCGTAGCAATGATCGTTGTGTTAAAATTATATTTGGAATGTATTTAACCAGTTCTATCACATATGTAATAATGACTGACACCAAAATTGTCCTTTAACTCCGAACATGTTATCAAGGTCTTCTCTCATAGCATAATGAATAGCGTATGCCCGTCTTCATTAGCCCAGTTCGGAGCAAAACAGTAGGACTTTAAACCCCATTTCATTTCATTTTCTGTTCCCTGGTCAATTTTCATCCAATTGAAATGAAATATTAATTACATCAAAAAAGAAAAATTAAGTCAATATTTATTAAACTCAATACTGTGGTTGAATTATTGCAAAGAAATTCCTCCTCATTCGCTTGTCATTCGTCATGCGTATGCAATACGTTACTATGAATAGACATTTATTACATGTAGCACGGACTTGGTGACCAAATAATGATGATTGTCATCTTTAACAGGTTTATCATATAGTTATATGTACATGACTAACAATTATATATAGATGCATAACTCTGGTTTATATACAATACACATTTAGTAGGCGTATTTTATATTGGCCTAGATAGTTCTATTAACAGTTCAAATATTAAATGTAGTATTGAACGTTTGTGTGTTTCAGTATAAAAAAAAGAAGAACTATAGAAGATTTAGAAACAGAGATCAAAGCTCCTTGGGAGCAGGGCGGCTTCGATGCACGCCCTGCTCCTGAAGAGCAGAGATGCAGTAGAACCCGTCCATGTGACAGTCTGGATTCGAAGAGCTGGTTTGTATTTTAAGTTACCACATTATAATGTTGTCGTATCCTAGTTAACATTGGTTTACTTCATTTTGGTTAGCGTCCAATAATGGTATAATTTTGCGCTTAAATTTGCGTTACTTTTACGTCAGAATGGTTATACACTTATTACTTTTACGTCAGAATGGTTATATGATTTCCCAACCAATTATTTTCGCTTTGAATTCAGTCATTATCACATATGTGATAGAACTGGTTAAACACATTCCAAATATAATTTTAACAGAGATCATTGCTCCGATAGATGCGTTATAAAGCTTTCAAGAAAGGAAAGTGACGAACGCAAAAGGAAAACACGAGTTATCCTTCTATATAACTGACTGAAGTGACGAGTGATAATAGATACATGGGCGAATTTCTGCTCACTAATAATTCCTTAGAAGACCAAAAGTTGTTGTGTGAGACTGTGAGAGGATATCTGACAATTCATAAAAAGAATTGACTGTCACTAGATAAGAGAACACGAAAGATAAATAGAAAAAGTCTGTGCATTACCAGGTTTTTATAAAGTATAGAATGAAAAAAAAAACCCAAGGGAATGTATGGAACTATTTCTATTTTTCTTGTGTTCTCTGATCTAATGACATTCAATTACTTTTTTAAATTGTCAGATATCCTCTTACAGTCTCATATAACAACTTTTGGTCTTGAAGGAATTATTAGTTAGCAGAAATTTGCCCATGTATCTATTATCACTCGTTACTTCAGTCGTGTTTTTTTTTTGCGTTCGTCACTTCCGATTGTTGAAGCCTTTATTATGCATCTATCGTAGCAATGATCCCTGAGTTAAATTTATATTTGGAACATGTTTAACCAGTTTTATCACATATGTGATAATGACTGACATCAATATTGTCCTTTAAATAACCATACCAATGTGTGTACATTTTAACAATTGATATTTAGTTTGTTAATTTTCTGTTTGGCAATTTGACAGTACTGATTCTTGTTGAAAAAGTTACAATAAAACGGTCTTGGCCTATGCGAAAATGTTCACCTAACGATGGATTGCCATCCTTATGGAAGGGCAGTGATTCAGATTTTATCGGTGGTGTAGAATTTTATAGTTTTGTGTTGGAACTTGATAGAATACGGCTTAATCTTCAATTTACTTAAATAATTAAGAGATTTATGATGAATTATTTTTAGTTCACAACACGTGAACAAAAATATAGAAATAGCCATTATATACATGAGTTTTACATGAAATTTTTAAATTAGCGTATTTGATATTGTAATTTTCGGTATAAAATTCATATTCATGAAAATGGCATTAAGTTTAGATTATTTCATCCATTTACATGAAGGGTCTATTTGCAGTTGTTTTTTTAATGATATCTTAAGAGTTAATAATTGCAACCTCAAGAGTATTTACAGACAGAATATTGACAAATAAAATGGGTGTGGCACCACCCAAGGGGATTGGATCATGCACCAAAATCAATAACTGCCGTCCTTAGGGTATAAGGAATAAATATATTAAGTTCCTAGATAATCCATTCAGAATTGTGGCCTTAGATGCTGAACAGAAAAATTGGGCGTGGCTCTGTCTTTGGGAGTTCTGACATGCACCAAAATCAATTTTGCCGTCCTTAGGCTACACATGCCAAGGTCCATGATGATCCAGACATGCACCAAAATCAATTGCCGCCCTTAGGCTTTAAGGAATGCATAATCCATGTTCAAAGACGATTCATTAAAAATTGTGGCCTTCAGATGCTGAACACAAAAATTGGGCGTGGCTCTGTCCTTTGGAGTTCTGACATGCAACACAGACACACAAAGAAAAAATGAGTGTGGCTCTGCTCCTGAGGTCAGGCATTCACCAAAAACAATAGGGATCATCCCTAGGGTATAAGGAATACATATGTAAAGTTTCAAGAGGATCTGTTAAGAAATGAAATGAAATGGGGTTTAATGTCCTGCTGTTCTGTTCCAACTTGGCTAATGAAGACGGGCATATGCCATATGACGAAAATTTTGCCCGGTCTGCTGCACTAGGTGGTGGACCCTATAGAGGTCATAATTTTTATCCGATTTAAGAAAAAAGTATAATTATATCACCGTTACACCGTAGGGACGGCTGAGTTCGAATTTCGTAAAAATCGGCCCAAAACTGACAGCCAAAATGGCCGCCGTTCATTCTCAAATAGCGTAAAAATATGGTATATCAAGGTTATGGACCCTATAAAGGTCACAATTTTTATCCGATTTTGTTGAAACTTGAAATGTAACTTTATAACCTAAAGATCTCGTTTCCTTTCGATATTCGCGCATATCTGACCGTAACCTCCTTAATTATGGCCCCCGATTGTACGAAAAATCGCGTTTTTAGCTTGTGGACCCTATAGAGGTCATAATTGTTATCCGATTAAAAAAAAAAACGTTTGAATATATCACCATTACACCCTAAGGATAGTTGAGTTCGAATTTCGTAAATATTGGACCAAAACTGACAGACAAAATGGCCGCCCCTCGTACTCAAATAGTGTAAAAATATGGTATATCAATGTTGTGGTCTGTGGACCCTCTAGAGGTCACAATTTTCTTTTGATTTTTATGAAACTTGAAATGTAAGTTAATAACCCAAAGATCTTGGTTCCTTTCGATATTCGGCATATCGGATAGTAACTTCCTTAATTATGGCCCTTGATTGTACGAAAAATCGCGTTTTTAACTTGCGGTCCTTGTAGAGGTCCCAATTCGTATCTGATTTTAAAAAAATGTGTGAATATATCACCATTACACACTAAGATCATGGATCCTTTTGCTAATCATGGATACCCGAACTTAACTTCCTGGATTATGGCTCCCGATTGTTCGAAAAATGGTATGTTTGCTTGCGGATTCTCTAGAGATCACAATATTTTTTCCGATTTAAAAAAACGTTTAAATATTTCACCATTCCACCATAATGAAGGTTGAATTCGAATTTCGGGAAAATCGAAATGAAACTGCCCAACAAAATGGCCGCTATTTGTACGCAAATTGTCTAAAAGTATGCAATACGAAGGTTGTCGACCCTCTAGAGGTCACAATTTTTGTCCGATTCTGGTGAAACTTAAATCATATCTTTATATCCCAAAGATATCAGTCTCTTTTGATATTTGCGCATTTCAGACCATAACTTTCTGGATTATTGCCCCTGATTGTACAAAAAATCCCGTTTGTTTTTAGCTTGTTCTCTATCCATCTCTTGCAAAATGTGGGCGTATCCTGCCTGGCAGCCGCTGGTTTTTATTGCCAACGACCATCGCAGCGATATGATCGCTCAAGTCGTTGCTTCGTCGGCAAAAAGTTCTGTAATGTGCTCACCTCGGTGACAAGTCACACCGCAACCAAGGAAATAAAATCCCCTATTAAACCAATCATGTTTGGTTATTTTTCTCATGTGAACTAACCACACACACGGTTCCGCGGATATTTTAATGTTAAATGTTTATGTGCCTGAGGTAATTTAAATCATCTGACCCGGGCCTCATGGTTATTTAGCCAGCGCCCTATTCACTGAACCACTGTCAAAAAAGGTAAACTCCTGGGCCCTGTTTCACAAAAACTTAAATTTTCTTAAAATCGTCTTAGATGCGTTTCACAAAACGATTTTAAGCATTTTAGATAAAATCCACTAAAATAATATTGCAAGTTAAAATTGTATCTTAACTTAAAATAGTGGCGTTTCACAAAACTATTTTAGGGATAATTTTAACAAAAATCAATTTTAACTTAGGACAGCCGTCACCCTCTCCTAACTTAAAATCATGACATTAAGAAACATTATTAGAGCTACGTTGTGAGATCTATTGCGACATATAGATGTATTTGGAATAATGATAATATTGCCAATGGCCCGTGTTATATAATTTAAACATACTATCATTCACAAAAATATTTTTCATTCAATTTCTTTTCATTGCATGGGAAATATAGCTGCGCCTCACACGTTTATTTTATTGTAGGCAATATAAGCAATTAGATGACGCCCCAAATTAAATCCCCAAGAACAAAAATCCCTCAAAACCCCAGAAAACAAAACTCTTTGTTACTATTTTATATATTACCATGATTCAAGTATAAATTATACTATTTTCAATAATTAATTGACCCCCCCCCCCCAAAAAAAAAACCCTAAAAAAAAATATCTAAAACCCACTTCATATCTAATGTCTAAAAATAGGCCTACAATTGTTTAAAGAGAGAGAGAGAGAGGGGGGGGGTAACGTCCACTAGACACAAACTAGATCATTTCATGACTAACACATGCTTCAATTTTATTTCAATAATTCGCTTGTGCGTAGGGGTCTTTAGTAGTGAGAGAAAACCCACGAGGCTGGACGGGCGACCCAATCCCTGTCACGTACAACCGGGGAATCGAAACCCCGTCAGTCCTATAATACTAGATATGGCATATGCAAAGTATTTATGGTTTTGGGGTTATGATGATTTATATAGGAGCCATGGGTATTTTAAATTGGGATAAAATCATTTTAATTTGGTATATAAGATAGATAGGCATTATCCAATAAGGAGTGTGGCACTTTGGCTTTTTCAAATTATTATTGAAAGGGTCCATGGGACTGACATTTCAAATCTAGGCATCGGAACATTGGTTATTTCGTGTATTAGTTTAAAAGTTATTAAATACTTTTAAAAATCGTCAATACTTTAGTCTAGACTAATCGTTTGAGTCAGAAATATACTTATTTATTTCATCTCTCTACGACTGTCTGACCATGTGCAGACATTGTTACAGCGTATGAAACCATTCTCATTGGTATTGTATATAATGGTTAGTTCAACCTGGCAACAGTTTTCAGTTCGGAAGTGTGTATGCTTACACCCAAAGTGCCCTCACCGGAATTGTGCACTGCGCGAGCGCAAGTAATTTAAACTAAAATCTATTAAACTTGAATTTTAAGTTACAATCGATCTTCGTGAAACGCATAAAATTTAAAATTTCAGTTTGATTTTAGTTAAAATCTATTTTAGTGAAACAGGGCCCAGAACAGATGATTGCGGAAAACTGAATGGCACAATAATTCCTGCTATTCCAAGCCGTGAGTACAGCAACTTGCCAGGATCGGACCTGAAATCATAGTTAGTTAGCCAGTGCCTTAGTCGCTGAGCCACTATCAAAGAGGTAAACTCTTGAACGGATGGTTGCGTAACAAAAAATTGCACAAAAGAACAACTCTAAGATTGGTTCTAGACACTGTTTCACCGATTTGAAATGACTAAAAATTTTATCCATCAGTCAATTTTGTGATTTGGATTCCCAGCTCGTCATCAGATCTGCGGGTCCTCTGCCTGGTTTCCTCTCGCTACTAAAGATCCCTACGCGAAATTGAATTAAAAAAAAAATATATTGAACCATATGTAAGTCCTAATCCAAGTTTGTGTCGAGTGGACTTTAAACCCCAACACTCTCTCTTTCAATTTCGATTTCAAAAGATTGATGACGTCTGTCATTGAGTCAACTGGCGTGGTTTCGATTCCCCGGTTGTACGTGACGAGGAGTAGGGTCGCCTGTCCATCCTCGTGGGTTTTCTCCGGGTCCTCCGGTTTCCTCCCACTAAAGACCCCTACGCGCAAGCGAATTATTGAAATAAAATTGAATCATATGTTAGTCCCGAAAAGAGCTAGTTTGTGTCGAATGGATTTGTATTTGTTTGTCGTCTACAGGCCGCATTCCTTAACATATCTTGAAACTTTGCATACTTATTCTTTGTACCCTAAGGAACACCCCTATAGTTTGTGGTGCATGCCCAACCCCCATGGGCAGAGCCATGCCCACTTTCTTTGCGTCTGTCTGTGTGTCGCCTGGGGCAGAGCCACTCCCAATTTTTGCCTTTAGTGCCCGGCCACAATTCTGATTGGATTTTCTTGGAACTTGGTATACTTAAGCCTTATACCCTGAGGACGGCAACTGTTGATGTTGGTGCACGATCACCCCCCCCCCTCCATTTCTGCAGTGTCACCCCCACCTTTTGCTGACACTTTGTAAATGATATACATGTTGCAATTATTAACAGATTTGGATCCAATTCGGAATGATCCAGCATAGGGTTGTACCTATATATATTGGTCCATGTCCAACTCCCAGGGGAAGAGCCACGCCCAATTTTTGTGATTTTTTGTCTGCAGACTGGAATTCTAAATGGATCATCTTGAATAATAAATAATAATCACAAATTTGACAGAAATCATTTAATAACAAAGCAGCGATCGCCATTGGGTTCACATTGGTTTCGGAAAAGGGGAATAACTCCATAACTAAAAGCCACGTGATGCTGAAAATCAATAGGATGCATCCTCTCGTGACCCCAGTGCTTCTCACCAAGAAACGACCTTGAACCTACCTCCTCATGGGAAACTGACACTCGCATTAATAACAAGTAAACTAAACGATGTTTTAATCAATTCGGAAAAGATGAATCACGTGCAATATAGTCTAATGTGCGATGCGGGTTCGAGCTGTACAGGGACATATTATTTTGTTAATTTCGGTCAAAAGTGTATATGTGTTAAATGGTTAATGAAAAAGTCGTCTCAATCACTAACTGCTAATGAAAATAGCACACCAGATTCGACAGTTGATCGTTATAAGGTCCATGATCGTGCCTTAAACGTTACAATACTAAAGTACCAACATATTTTAATAGATAAATTTTTTATATTCTCCCTTAATTTTAAATTTATTTTAAAAATCTGTCATTACAGGAACAAATCTAATGATCATATAAATGAAGGCAGTGGGGCACATTGTAGGCAAGAAACATCACAAGAAAATAGTGGACCGGGGCTCCTGCTACCTAATTCGCTTCCTCAAGTCCAAAAAGAAATTGTTTTCGAACCTGATGTGCCAAATGAGGAAGTGATACTTAAACATGAAAAATATATTAAACATGAACATGAAAAATATATTCAAAAAATTTTGTTTGACGACAACATTGTCGTAGAACCTAAACGACTAATATTTATCAAAATAGTTACAGAAAAAATATTTAAAGACAGAAAGGATGTAAATCCAGAATTTTTTATTTTGAATGATGGGGGTTTAAGAGACTCGAAAGGAAAAGAACTAATTCTCAATGATTATTATAAATATAATATAATTTTTATATCCAACGTTCACGCAGATTCAGCTATTAATCACATGATGTTACTTTATACCAAGAACTCAGACCATACTGCAGGAATCATTGAAACTGACCAGGAAGAAAACTCTGCTAGTGCAATAGATTTACTTGAAAAAATCACGTTTCCAGATTGTTTTACCATTATACCAGGTGGTATTAAAAACAGGGCTACCTTTGGTTTCCAACAACAGCTAGACTCGTGCTGGGTATGGGTGATTAAGTTTGCCGAATATATTGTATTTGGCCAAAAATCAGAAGAAGAAGCTCCATCTGTAAGATACGAGAAGGTAAATTTTAAAAGATCATAAATTCCAATATATATATATATATATATATATATATATATATATATATGTAATTAAAAGATTAAAAAAAACCCTCTCAGGTTTCTATAACAAAAAATGCTAATGTTCGGAGGAAATAATCTATATTTAAATAACTTTTACATTAGTGCCAAAATCTTTCGGCCTTTCGGAACATGGTACTAATGTAAAAGTTATTTAGATATAGATTATTTCCTCCGAATGTTAATATTGTTTCATTTGGCACTTTCATTTTGAGTAGCCTATGTCAGTATTACGAAAGACCAACAAAGATTTGACCAATACATCTACCCTCCCAAAGGCCCAAGATTGGGAACATTTTTCCAATCCCCTTGTAGTGGTCAATGCCTATATAAACAAAAGGTAAATGCACTGAAAATTTTAAATATATTTTCAGATTTATGAAGAGAATAAGAAAGCCATACAATGCACAGAGTCATAAAGGGGACAGTAAATCAATTAACAGACGCGCTAGAAATAATTCACTTGGTCTAGTTTTAACTAATTGCCCTGATGTGGTTTTTACAGCGAGAGCTTCGCTTTTCCACATAAAGCATTCAGAATTGGTTTCCCATGTTTTTTTCTATCCACATTAGTCGGGACACAACCCCATCCATCCGCTATCATTTCTTGGATAACACATTTTCATGTGTACGTATATTGTCGTCGCTCCTGTCCGTCCGGACGTCCGTCCACAATTTGTTTGTGGACACTCTACAGGTCACAATTCTTATCCGATTTTGACGAAACTTGAAATATAGGTTTATCTCCAAAAGATCTCGGTTGCTTTCGATATTGGCATGTATCGGATCGAAACTTCATGGATTATGGCCCCTGTTTGTACAAAAAAACACACGTTTATAGCTTGTGGACCCTATAGAGGTCACAATTTTTATCATATTTTGTTGAAACTTCGTTCTCAAATAGCGTAAAAATATGGTATATCAAGGTTGTGAACCCTATAGAGGTCACACTTTTTATCCGATTTTGTTGAAATTTTTATCCGAGTTTGTTGAAACATGAAATGTAAGTTTATAACCCAAAGATCTCGGTTCCTTTCGATATTCGCGCATATCGGACCGTAACTTCCTGAATTATGGCCCCTGATTGTATTTTTTTTAGCTTGTGGACCCTATAGAGGTCATAATTTTTATCCGCTTTAAAAAAAACGTATTATTATATCACCGTTACACCCTAAAGACGGCTGAGTTCGAATTTCGTGAAAATCGGCCCAAAACTGACAGACAAAATGGCCGCCCTTCGTTCTCAAATAGCGTAAAAATATGGTATATCAGGGTTGTGGACCCTGTAGAGGTCACAATTTTTATCCGATTTTGTTGAAACTTGAAATGTAAGTTTATAACCCAAGGATCTTGGTTCCTTTCGATATTCGCGCATATCGGACCGTAACTTCCTAAATTATGACCCCTGATTGTACGAAAAATCGCGTTTTTAGCTTGTGGACCCTATAGAGGTCATAATTTTTATTCGATTTCAAAAAACCTATTATTATATCACCGTTACACCCCAAGGACGGCTGAGATCGAATTTCGTGAAAATCGGCCCAAAACTGACAGACAAAATGGCCGCCCCTCGTTCTCAAATAGCGTAAAAATATGGTATATCAAGTTTGTGGACCCTATAGAGGTCACAATTTTTATCCGATTTTGTTGAAACTTGAATTTGAAATGTGAGTTTATAACCCAAAGATCTCGGTTCCTTTCGATATTTGCGCATATGGAATTGTAATTTCCTGAATTATGGCCCTTGATTGTAGGAAAAGTCACTTTCTTTTTAGTTTGTTCTCTATCCATCTCTCGAAAATGTGGGCGTATCCTGCCTGGCAGCCGCTGGTTTGTGTAATGATTGTATGTAATTAAATCAGATTAATCGAGAACTGTCCAATATGGGCCTGGTGACCAACAAAACCTAAAAAATGATATATTACATGGATCATATCGCCAACAATTCAAAAAGTCGAATTTCAGATCATTTTGGCCACCATCTTGGATTTCAGAGGTGGCAAACTACAAATATATTCACTGGGTGGTTGTGTCCCGAACTACATTGACGATACCAAACATCAATCTGCTGAACCTCATGTTTTAACTCGATTTTATTTTGATGAAGAAACACATCAACACATCATTGTTTTACATTTTTTAATTAAAATCAGACTGTCCATCATAATTAATGTATCTAATGTCAAAATAGTAATAATAAAGAACACATTGAACCTTCCTATTGTTTCTTTTTCAATTTTCAGTTGTTTGTTCGATTTTATAGGAACATTGTCTAATGAAATCCACCCATGTAAACATTCCCAAACGATATTTAAATACTTGACGGGTAATTTAAAGGGACAGTTCTCTGGTTTTCGATCAACGTGATGTGCTTGAGAGGGGTGTTCAAGAATTTAAGTCGAAACCATGGTAAATTTCTCCTCTTCGTGCAGAGCTTGCAGTTTCAATATTTAAGCGACTAAATCGTTATTTTGAAAAGTATATAAAAGAAAATCAATTACGTTTATTCAAATTTTCAATAGTTTAACTGTTTCATATATTATATTTTCACAGTTTTCGTTTAATGCACGTGTGTCAAAAGGGAAATTTGATATTATTATGAAAACTATTATGGTTACGGATATTCAAATACTTAGATAGATTATATTGTGGGAATTTCCATGACCGGCCCTGAACCATCACATTTCTTAGTCTGATTAATGTAAAGGCTATGATTAACATTGCTATTGTTAGCAGGAACCCACGTGCATCAAAATAACTCGGCAAATTTGATCAAAAAATAGAAAACTGATCAAGATCCTGTTAATTAAAAACGGAAATCGCTAACATAAATGATCTGTATGTTGGTAAATCATATACATTGTGCTAAACATACATCGCATTAAAGGCTCAATACCACTCTTGTTGTAACTGAATAATATGTCCCAGTCTTTATTCTGGTCAACAAATTGCATTATTTTACAATATTCCAATTAATTGATGATACAAATTTCATCTTAACACACCTTATTTAAAAAAATTGGAAAAATTCAACTAAATGATTTGAAAAGCCTGACATAAAGCTTTTCAAATGTGACTTGGATTTAAAAATATTTTTGAACCCTCTGGACAAGTAAAATAGGATTTAATGGATAATTTACACAACAGGTAGGACACTAACACATCTAGTACTTAGAATAAGGCTATTTTTTATTTTCTGGAGCTGTCAAGCCAGCAAGAGTGTTATTGTCCCTTTAAGGTCTGTAGACACACGACGGGCGTGGCTGGGCAGTTTGACTTATATAATTGTGCGTTAACACTGCATGCGAATTCCGGCGGCCGGCCTCCCGAATTCGGATTAGCTTGTCCGGATTAAAAGTGGTGCGTCATATTAAAACTTATTCAGATTGAATTCAAATTGAAACATGCCACACTGACTGAATGCGCATAACTAGCATAAGTGAAGGTCATTCAAATCCATATGACTAGGTGGGTAAGACGCTGGCTCGCTAGCCTGGAGGTCGGGTGTTCGATCCCTGCATTGCCGAGAAAGTTCATCCAAATTTTCCTGCGTGGTTCCCCCTTGTCAGTGATGCAGGCCGTAGTGCCGCTGTCCGGGCAAAATTTCCCTCATAGCACACTGTATGGCGTATGCCCGTCTTCATTAGCCCAGTTCGGAGCAACACAGTAGGACGTTAAACCCCATTTCATTTTCGTAATCGTGATCCTTCTTATGTTGTTTATGTTTAATTTCCCGAGGCAAGCAAGGCTAAATCAGCGACGCCGGGTCTTGCATCCTCGGCAATTTGCCGTTCAGCGTTGGGCACTATTTCGTCGGCACCAGAATCAAAGGCGAATGATAATGATTACTTTTGGTCGTGTTTGCTATACATCAACAAGCATGGCGTACATGATATTTTCATGAAAATCAGAACAAAACTGGCCGCAGGTTTAAATATCGCCTATAATGGTGGTTGAGGTCGAATACCGTAAAAATCAGGCCAATAAAATATCCGCACTTGTACGCAAATTGTGTAAAAGTGTGGAATTTCAAGGTTGTGGACCCGCTAGAGGTCACAAGTTTTATCCGATTATGATGAAACTTAAAATGTATGTTTATAACCCAGGCATCTCGGTTCCTCTCGAAATTCGTAACTTCCTGGATTACGGCCTCTGTACGAAAAATCGCCTCTTTTGTTAGCTTGTTCTATGTCCTTCTCTTGCAAAATGTGGACGTATCTTGCATGGCAGCCGCTTGTCTGTTTTTTTTTAAAATTTTATTCCCAGAAAATATCTAATTTTAGTTTTGATTGACACTTTGAATGGCTTTTTCATTTTACGTAGATACAGATTTCATTTTTTTTTTAAACCTAAGAATCCCACGAATTGCCTAAATTGCGGTTTGTGGTATTTTAACTTCTCTTTATTTAAAAAAAACATGCGAATACTTTAAATTATTCCATATAGATTCATGTTTCTGACACTCTCTATAGATTTTAGAAAATTCAGGAACGATTTGTTTTCTTTCACGAAAGAGACAGAACCCAGGAGTTATCATCTTTCGCAATGAATGAAATCAAATGAAACATTGCTACTACAAACGTGTGATGAAATGTTACTTTCAAGGTTTTAGTAATTGACTTTAACAAGAGTTTCCTCCCTTACATTGTTATGCGGGTTTCTACTATCCGCCGTTTGTATAAGCGTCTCGACACAAATACGAAATAGAATACCAGGAAACTTGTAACCAACTCTTAGGTCTGCTATCCTTCCGACAGAGAGAGAGAGAATAAATTTTGTTTTTCTCTATTGATACTTGTTCTTGTTTTGATTTTTATCTGTAGCCACCTGAGCAAGGAACCGCGCCTAGTCGTTCGGATGAGACGACAAAACCGAGGCCCTATGTGCATTTGGTGTGCACATAAAAGAAGTGGACGAAAAAGCCGATGCGCGCTAAAATTACTCTCATAGCACATTGCATCTGCGCAATTGGTGAAGAGCGTTAAACCCCATTTTATTTCATCTCAGATGTGGCTTGACGTATTTTTAAGATGGCTGATATTGACAAATTTTCATAGGAATGGCATACATAAAGTTGGTTATTGTGTGAAGTTTGTACAATCTGTTATTTTATTCTTACATATATTTCATAATTGATCATATTTTATGGTTCAAGTTGTGCCATTATTTTCCGTAAAATAGCGTTTTTTCTAATATTGAAACAATAATACAAGACAATCAGAATTCAACTATTTCATTCGGGTTCATACGGAACGATAAATGTCCAAATGAATTTTATTTCTATAATGTGTATTTCAATTAGCATTTTAATTGACGAACTGTTAGCGCAGAACAGATCAGCCAGTTTGAAGATATGCCGATCTAAAAACTATCGTTCTAAACGCTACCTAAACCAAGTGGGCCCATACTGCACACTAAAATATGAAATGAACTGGAAACCGGTTGGACGTCTTGATTTTCCTTCGAAATAAATGTTCCATACAAATAATTGTTCAAGATAATAGTCAATGGCTAACAACTCGGAACTACTAAAAATCTATTTGAGATAAAAGAGCAGGCAGCTGCAGTTTAAACACCTCTAATCTAATCATAACACTATCAAACTAGCAATTGACCCTGGGTAAGAAAGCCGAGGTCATCTCTTTAAACATTAAGTTACAATGTGAAACATGACAATGGGGCTGTTGGCAATTGACTCCCACATATTAAAAAAAGTGTTCAAACGTTACACCCCGTTGTTTGCTTGTCATGCCCCATTAGTTTAATATACTATATTGGATTGTCAATACATATTTTATACTGGTGGATACGAAGATGCTTTTTTTTTCGGGGTGGGGGGGTGGGGTGGGGTGGATGGCTGAATGGTTAGCGTGCGCGCGCTGTATCATAAAGCCTGTCATTGAGTTAACTGGTGTGGTTTCGAATCCCCGGTTGTACGTGGCAAGGAGTAGGGTCGCCTGTCCAACCTCGTGGGTTTTCTCCGGGTCCTCCGGTTTCCACCCACTGCTAAATAGATAGTCAATTTACTTTATTATGTGCAAAATTATGGGTGTTTGACGTTTTGAGTAAATATAGCGTTAGATTCTTTTTTACCGTAGCAACGCTACTTTGAAAATCAAGACTAAGTCTCGATTATCTATTTTATCGCTGTCCTCTTAAATGGTCGCGGTGTTCTAATCTATACTCAAAATCGAAGGCATCCAATAGCTCAGGGAGTTGATTTTGGGTTTGTCAAGTTAATAAATGTTTAAAGATAATAATTTATATATCATTTGAAGCCAGCAAAAAGATCTGCAATGGGCAATTAAGCTCTTACATAATGCACCTTTAATAGTAACTTTCACGAATTGAAATAAATATTCAAACGTCACATCCCCTTGTTGCACTTTCGTACACCATTAGTTTCATAAATTATATAGGATCGCCAGATAACGTGAAACCGGTGGATACGAAGATGCTTTTAAAGATGAATTTAAAATTGTTAAAGTTATTTAAGAGAACACCTAACGGTACCGACAATCCACTGTTTGCTCAGCTTTGAAAGATCATTAACCAATATCATTAACCTGCTTCTAGTTCAGTTAACAAGGCTAATTTATTGGTCATTTCCATCCCTTTTAATCTACAGGTAGAATGCTGTTGGTTGTTGATATCACACTCCATCAATCACATGTCTGTCGGCTGCTCACATGATCAAAGATATCGCTTCCTATATTTCATGTTTTATGGATCTGTATATCATTTGTATTAGCCCTTTTAACTTTAGGGGGGTTGGATGGCTGAATGGTTAGCGTGCGCGCGCTGTATCATAAAGTCTGTCATTGAGTCGACTGGCGTGGTTTCGAATCCCCGGTTGTACGTGACAAGGAGTAGGGTCGCCTGTCCAACCTCGTGGGTTTTCTCCGGGTCCTCCGGTTTCCTCCCACTGCTAAAGACCCCTATGCGCAAGCGAATTATTGAAATAAAATTAAACCATATGTTAGTCCCGAAATGACCTAGTTGTGTCGAGTGGACGTTAAACCCCATTTCTTTTTATGGAACCTGTATGTCGTTATTAACCCTTTTAACTGTAAAGTAAACTTACAATCAGCGTTATTGTGCATACGAAACTTACGCTATATTTTGTCAGCTATATTATTAACCCTTTTAACTGTCAATTAAACTTACAATCGGCGTTATTGTGCATACGAAACTTACACTATATTTTTGCATTAAACT